TCTCTTCTAGGATGTTGTCTTGCAAGGGGAGCTGGCTGAGGAGGAAGCAGATGTTTGGAGGACGGCAGAGTGGGCAGGTGGACATAACCTGGGTCCCTTTTTGATACTGCTGAAACCATGCATTTACCCAGCCCTGAAGGAACTCTACCTACAGAGTTGTTATGAAATATGTTTTCCATTCGGTTTAAGCCATTTTGTTTTGGTAATTTTTTCTGTTGTGAAATAAACATAAAATTTACCACTTTAACCATTTTAAAGTGTACAGTTCGGTGGTATTAAATACATTTACACTGCTGTGCACCCGTCTCTAGAACTCTTCATCTTGTAAAACAAACTCCATACCCATTAAACACTAACCCCCAATTTGCCCCACCCCTGGCAACCACCATTCTACTTCTGTCTCTGAATCTGACTATTCTGGGAACTTCATGGAAGTGGAATCATGCAGTATTTGTCTTTTCGTGACTGGCTTATTTCATTTGGCATATCTTCAAGGTTCCATGTTGCGTTTAAGCCATTTTGAGTTTCCTATTACTTATAAGTGAATATATTATAACTTACATGTAAGCTTGAGGGAGTGATGAAGTCAAGTTACCATTTAAAATCAGAATTCAAAGCAGTAATTCAGACGATGCTACTCTCCTCTTTAAAATTGCTAATGGCGTGTCTCAAGAAAAAGCTCAAATTCCTCAGCCTGAATACAAAGTCATTTCCTGCCACAGCTGACCTTACTCCATAGCTGACCTTACTATTTACAGTCTGGGATTACCACACCAGGCATAATTTCCCTGAGCCACCATGCTGGCTTTGCTGCCCCCGCTCAGCAGCAACCACCTCCACAGCGCAGTCTTTCATGCTTGAAGCCCCAGCTGAGACACCACTACTGCCAGAGGACCTCTGCACCTACTTCCCCTATCCACAAGGAAGCCGGAATTCATAACCCCCCCTCTCTCCATGCTAGCTGTTCTAGTCTAGTAACTGCGCTGCTTTATTTTACTTGTACGTCTACCTCTCCTTTTAGAATGCAAGCTCTTGGAAGTCAATGACTCTTATTAGACTTAGTGCAATGTTTGGCATGTAATCAACATGCACTACATGCCTGCAGACTTATTAAGAGGCAAACCTTGTTTTATTGCACTTTGCTTCACTATGCTTCACTTTATTGCACTTCACAGATATTGCATTTTCACCAACATTGAGGGAAGACCTTCCACCGGCAAAAAGATTGACTTGCTGAAGGCTCAGATGAATTAACATGGTTAAAATGTTCATACTACCCAAAACAATCTATAGACTCCGATGCAATCAAAATACCAATAGCATTTTTCACAGAACTAGAACAAATAATCCTAAAATTTATATGGCACCACTAAAGACAATGAAATAGCCATAGTAATCCTGAGAAAGAACAAAGTTGGAGGAATCGTGCTACTTGAGATCAAACTGTACTACAAGGCTATAGTAATCAAAACTGCCTGGTATTGGCATCAAAACAGACACATAGATCAATGGAACAGAAGAGTCCAGAAATAAAATCACGCTTATATGGTCAATTAATCTATGACAAAGGAGGAAAGGAGATACAGTCTCTTTGATAAATGGCACTGGGAAAACTGGAGAGATACATGCAAAACAATGAAACTAGACCACTGTCTTATACTATATACAAGAACAAATGCAAAATGGATTAAAGACTTAATTGTAAGGCCCGAAACCATACAACTGCTAGAAAAAAACATAGGCAGTAAACTCCTGACATCGCTCTTAGCAATACTTTTTTGGGTATGTCTCCTCAAGCAAGGGAAAGAAGAGAGAAAAAC